GGGATGTCAAGCCCTGATGTGCCTTTGCCAGCTGGGTCTGGCTGCTCAGGTCCCCTGGCAGCAGCATTCCAGTACTGATGCTCCCAAATGCTGGGATGGAGAGGGAGCACACTGCAGCAAACTGGTGCCTTGGCCTTCTGCAGCTCTGGGCCTGTGCAGGTAAATCCTTCCTCCCACCTTCCCCAGGAAGATCAAGGCTTAAAATCTTGGAGTTGTCCTGGACTGGAGCTAAACCACTGATTTCCAAAGTAGCACAGGGGCAGGTTGGGTGTGTACAGTGGTGACATCCCATGTTGTACTGGTGCTTACCTGGTCTCCTGTTGGGTCATATGGGATGTTCTTCACTCATGCCTTGGAGACCAGACAGTATGTGATTGTGTGCCCATGGGGCCAGGCAGGGAAATACTTTTGGATATTATCCCTGCTGGATTGGCTGTTTGAGAGCCAATCCCAGTCTGCTGTGTCTCTCTGTAGTCCCTTCCAATCAAAAATTATGAAATGCACATGATTGTGCTGAGTTTTCAATAGGAATCATCCCCTCCTTGGGCAACAGTACGACACAATTAGGAATAAGGCTCCAGAGAGCTCAGAAATGGCATCTGCTCATGCTGTGTCTGGGAGCTGATTGCTGTCTGGGTTAATTAACAGGGCTCCAGACTGCCAGCAGCCAGGGAGCAGAGCTGCTGGATGTGAGGGCAGAGAACCACCAGGCCAGGGGCTCTTTATGTGTGTGTGCTTGCTGTTGAAATTCCTTCTTGCTTAATAAAATCCATGGTGGAGCCTGTGGTTCGTTACCCCTCCCCTGTCCCTTCTCCCCTCCTGAGGGGGAGATCTGATGTGAAAGCTCACCTCTTTTTTGGCTTCAGCAGGTTCTGCTGTTCTCTGTGGTGGTAGATGATGTCAGGGCACGTGCACGGCCATATATCCCTGGGGATCAGGGCACAAAATGGACTGTGGAACTGCATCTTTCCAGCTGGGATTTGGGGATGCTGGGCTGTTAATTGGCTCCTCGTGATGATCATTACAGAAGGGCCCAGACAGGGGAGGATTGGGGTACAGAGCAGGAGGAGGCTGAGGGCTTCCTAAAGTGATCCTGGTTCCTTAGGGGGGAAGGGGTTTCTCTTTTGGTGGCAAATGGGAGACATGGGATTGCCCTGCTGTCAGCTTCACTGGCCCTGTCCCAGTCTCGTGTGGGATGCTGGAGCAGAGGGGCAGGAGCAGGGGCTGACAGGGTGACCAGGAGTTGCTCCATACCAGGAGACTGAGGAGGGGGAAAACTCTTGGTTTTCTACGTTTAAGAGCAGACCTGGGAACAGAGGGACTGGCTTCCTTCCTATACCCCCAGACTCCCTGTTTTTAACTTCTCCCTCTATCATCCCACCAGCCAGACTTTGGGGTTTTGTCTAAAGCCTCCCTTTGGTCCCCAGAGTTATTTCAAGCAGATGCTAAAGGACAGCATATAAATACAATCTTCAGCTGCTGGCAAAATGCACAGCGTGGGGGTTGTCCTAGTGCAGTGGTCCAGATGAAAGAAACATTTGCCTCTAAAATGACCCAGAAATGTGCTTTTCTGCATTGGAAACGTGTCAGAGCCTTGAGGTGGATAAACCGAAGGGCAGCAAAGCTTTGCTTCCAGAAGCTGTGAGCAGCAGTCAAGGAAACCGTGGGAAGTGATGGCCGCGAGAGAGGGTTTTGCTGCATTTTGGGTTATTTAGAGCGGCCGTGCAGCGCTCAGGCTGCCAGTGATGGTGGTGCCGCCTTCGCGCAGCCACGTGTGGCTCGGTGGGCTGGTGCCAGCGCTACAGAAATGGCTCGTCATGTAATTTTAAACGGCATCTGCTGAGCCCGGATCATGTAACGGCCTCCGCGGCTCCTGATCCCGCAGCCGCCTCTTGTGGAGCCTGCGGGAAGGAAGGCGGCGGGGAGGGGGGGGCGGTGGTGTGATTTTGGGAGGGCAGACACCAGCCACGTGAAAATGCTTTTTTCGGAGGGGACATCTTCGCTGTGGGCAAGTGGCAGCTCCACCATGGCTGTGCGGTGACGCGATAAGAATAACTCCTGAAAAGCTGGCAGCGATGCCTGGTTATTGGTCCCTTGGCAAAGCTGCGCCCTCCGGCTCCGGTGCCAAAACGGAGCTCCCCATCCACGGTGTCCCCAGGGCGGGCGGACCCTGCGCGGCGGCAGCGCCCGGGGGCATTCGCGGGGTCCCCCCGGCGCGTTCCAGCCGGGGAGCCCCGGGAGCGATCACCGCGCCCCGGCGGCAAAATGCGACTCTGGTGGGACTCGAACCCACAACCTTTGAATGACTCCCGTCACACAGCGCTAGAAGTCCAATGCGCTATCCATTGCGCCACAGAGCCCTTGCTCAGCCGCGCCGCCCTCACCGCCTCTTCCCGCCGGCGCCGCGCCCGCCCCGCCCGCGCCGTCGCTCCCCGGGACCGCGCCCGTCTCCGCGGGGCCGGGCCGGTGCACCGGGCGGGACTACAGCTCCCGGCGGCCCGCGCTGCCTCCCGCCCCGCCCCGCCCTGTGCCGCAGCGCCGGGCGGGCCCCGCTCCTGCTCCCGGCGCAGGTGGCCGGGCCGCAGCGGACGCCCCGGAGCCCGGTAAGAGCGCGGCACCGTCTCCCCCCCTCCCGCTTCGTCAGCTCCTGGCGCTGCCTCCCCGCGGGCGGCCCACGGGCTCCTCGTCGGGCGCCGCGGCCCTGCGGGCGGTTCCGGGGTCGCTCAGCCCCCCCTGTCTCCGTGTGAGGTACCGGGGCTCCTCGTGGGGCACCGCGGGCGGCACCGGGGCCCCTCAGCCCCGCAGTATCCCCGAGGGCGCGCTGCGGGTCCCCGCCCGCCGAGAGCGGCTCTGCCCGCGCGGTTCCGGGGCCTGGCCGGGTTGGGGTGGAGGGGCCCGGCTGCATCGTGGGGCGAGGCCCTCCCAGCTCTGCTGCCCCGGGCGATCGGGCTGGGGCAGCGCTGCTCGCCCTCCGTGCTGGGGACCCTGCCCAGGGCAGGTGTGGGGACACGGACTCTGCCCAGGGCAGGTGTGGGGACAGGTGCCTCCCCAGGTGCCATTAGCGCTAAGGCTTCTCAGAGCCTGGTTGTCTGCTTTTAGTCCCCCCCCCGTGACCCGCTCCCCGGGCCCTCCTCGGGCTCGGTGCCCCCGGGGTGGATCCCCGCGGTTTGCCTCGGTGCCTGCTGGCTGTGAGCTACAGGCAGGTCTTGGTTTTCTCTGTGCTGATGCAGCTGGACAAGACTTGAATCCGTAACGCAGGGCTGGAGGTCTCTGGCAGCGACACACCGGGTATCTCTTGGTAATCTATCTCTGCAGGAGGCACCGGGATGCCGGTGCAAGGTGGAGATGTGAGTGGAGGATAACAGGGGCCTGCCTGGGCCTGTCTTGCTTTCAAGCGGGAGATTAAGCACCTTGCTGCCCACACAGAGTGTGGCTCCCTCGCTGCTGGCTGTCCACATCTGTCTGTCTGTCTGATGAGAGCCTGTAAGGAAGAGCCCAGGTCCTGGCTGAGCCACAGTAGTTTGATGGTGATCTAGAAGTTGCCCTGTGTAAGTGCAGAAAGAGGCTACCAGATGAAAACACAGAGTCCTGCCCTGCTAAAAGGCCAGGGGACCATGTTATGGGACATCAGGCCAGGGAGGTATTTGGCAGAGAGAAAGGCCACTGGCACAAGGGGGGATGTCAGGCCAGGGGCTGCAGGTGGGAGGATGTCCCCAGGTCCCCACCTGTGAGCAGCATCTTGTGCTTCGGTGCATCCCAGCCTGCTGCTGGTGACATGGCTGGGGGGGGGACAGCTGGTGTGACATGCCAGGACACAATGACCACGTGGCACTGCCTTGGCTTCCTTGATGCCACCATCTGGTACCAAATCCACAGAGGCTTCCCAGATCTGGGGGCACTGCACAGAGCAGAGGGAAAGCCACAAGTGTTGCTCCCGGTGCCACCAGCTGTGGTAGAGCCCACTCAGGGCTTCCAGCTTCAGAGCAGTGAATCCACCTTCGAGAGGGAAATGGAAATGACGTCAGTGTTTCCTTCCTCTTCGTCCATGTCAGGAAGGGGCAGTTTTACTAGGAGCCCTTGAGCTGTGAGCGTCATGTTGCTGTCACTCTCCTCCTCCCAGTGCTGTCCCCTGAAAAGAGGCTTTGCTAGTTAACAGTCTCCTGTGAGTCTCAGAGCCACATCTGGGGTGTGTTTGGGATGAGGACAGAGGTGCTGCTTTTGGGGACAAGTACCAGAGACTGAGTCACTGTCCCCAGGGCATGGGGCAGGGGTCTGGGCACTCCTGGCAGCAGTGGCAGCCCTTGTTCTGCCCACTCCAGCCTGGCCTCATCCCTGACGTGCTCTGGCAGTGTCTCCAGCAGAGCCAGGCCAGGAAACTGCCCGCCAACAGGAGGGTTTACAAACACAAGCAGAGTTCAAAGGGCTGAGTTTCCTGTCCCTGATCTTGTCTGAGCTGTGTTGGGGAGCGTGTGAAGCTGTGCTCTCCCAACAGCCATGCTGGCTGTCCTGGAGCCAGGTGTGCAGGAGAGCTCGTGCTGGGGGCCTGGGAGGCTCTGGGGTTTGGGGACAGAGGGATCTCTGAGATAGAGAGGAATTTGGAGCTGGGCTTCGCCAGGCTGAAAGTGAGGGGCCGAGACAGCCCGGCCTGGCATCCGTGGAAGTGACTTTATCCTGCACCTCATGCTGCTAGGGTATGGCCATACTCCTGGCTGATGTGCAGGATTTGACTCCCCAGGTAGGAATGACCAGGTTGTCAGTTAACACCAAGCGGTGCCATGCTGGTGACTCAACTGGAGGCCATTTCAGAGGTCAGATAAAGTTACATCTGTGAGAGCTCTGGGCTGCTGGGTTGCGTCCTCACTGCCAGGAGGAATGATGACTCAGGGACCTCATCCAGGAAATTGGGGGCTGCTCAGGCATCCCCCACCCACGGGTTTGTTTTCCTCAAGTCCAGCGTGCGTGGGTTGATGGCCGTGGTTTCTCTCTGCCCGCAGGCCACGATGCTGCGTCTGGCTGCTTTTGCAGCGGTGCTGCTGTTCCTCAGGGTCACTTTGGAACTGTCCTGGGCCCAGGCCATCCCTGCTCTCTTCATCTTCTACCTTGGATCCGGCGGATGGGACTTCTTCCTCATATTCCTCAAGACATTACGAAGAGACGTCACGTAGGTGTCCTGGCTTGGATGGCCCAACCACCCACCCTTCCCCTGGCCCTCTGCTGTGCCATGGTGTGTGTGAACACAGCCCCCAGCTCCTTGCACAGCCCTGGGTTTCTGCTGGCACCTGGCCCGGCTGGAAGGAGATCTCCCTCTGCCATGCCCTGGCGGCTCCAAACTCTTGGGCAAAGTTTTCACAGGAAGGATAGATTTCAGCTGAGCTCAAAGTCTAGTGACTGCCCTTGTATTTCACCCTGTCCCCGAAGCTGCTGGTGTGTCACCAGGTCCCTGTGCAGGGTTCATTCTGATCTGGTACCAGGCTGTGCCAGCTCCTGGCAAGGATTTGTGGGGAGGGAGCAGTGGCACCTCTTGGAGAGCAGCTGAAGCTCAAAGATGCCCTTTTGATCAGTGACATCCCTGTCTGCAGCCTTGCAAGACACATCTCTCCCTGACCTCCATCGGTCCCTGGCTATGAGCATCTTTGCAGATGAGCTCTGCCTATGTCCACACTGCTCAGGGGAACACCCATAGCTGCTGCTGACCTAGAGTAGGGCTTGGAGTAGTGCTGGGCTGTTGCAGCTCCTAGGAGGGTCCTCATGCTGTGCTGGCTTTATTGGAGAAAGTGGTTTTGCAGGGGTCACTGAGCAGCTGCCCTCTTGCTCCCCTTCCTTTGGCAGCACGGGGCTGGTCCTGTTGCGGGTGAAGTGGCAGGTATGGAGGCACGTGAGGGAGAAGAACACAATTGCCAAGATCTTCCAGAAGACCACGAGGAAGTATCCAGAGAAGACAGCACTGATCTTCCAAGGCACGGGTGAGAGCTGGACCTTCCGGCAGCTGGATGAGTACTCCAACCAGGTGGCCAATTTCTTCTACGGCCAAGGCTTCCGCTCCGGTGACGTGGTGGCCCTTTTCATGGAGTCCCGCAATCAGTACGTGGGGCTGTGGCTCGGCCTGGCCAAGATCGGGGTGGAGACGGCCCTCGTGAACTCCCACCTGCGCATGGAGGCCTTGCTGCACTGCATCACCATCTCCAACTCCAAGGCTGTGGTTTTTGGGGTGGAGATGATGGAAGGTGAGGGGCTGGCAGATGTTTTGGGGGTGCTTTGGACTGGAGGGAGGTGTGTCTAGTCTATGGGTTCAGTGTTCCTTTCCTGCCCACCACAGAGTAGAGATCCGGAAGGGAGTGGGCAGTTGAATCATCCAGGAATTAGATCTGGGTTTGCGTTTTTTTTTCTTGTTGGTTCCTTTGGACACTGGGCAGGATGTGGAGTGCAGTGCTGTCTGCCTCCCAGGCAGGCCAGCCCGGGTGTGAGGATCCTTCCTTGTGCCTCTCAGGTCCATCCCTGACACAGAGCCCTGGGCTGGGCTAGGCCTGCCCTGCTGCACAGGAGGAGCCTCTCCTTGCTCTCCATGGCTGTTACCACATCCTTGCAGCACCTTGGCTCCAGCTCCTTGTGTGTTTCAGCCCACACCTCTCATGTTGATGGTGTCAACAGACTCTTGGCACCAAAGAGATTTTGGATGGGGAAAGGTAGAGAACAGGATCTTCTGGTCCCTGAAGAGGCCTGGGCTGTGGCCCCAGCACCTCTTAATGATGGGAACATCTGCCTAGGATGGCTGGGAGCCCTTTGGGGACTCTGCCAAGCACAGCGGGGGTACTGCTGCCTGGGGCTGTGTCTCACTGAGGCTGCAAGAGCAGGGCGTCTCTGTGCTATAACCACCCAACAGTCTTACTCCAGCTCCTCTCTTTACTTTCTTAGCAATGCAGGAAGTGCAGCCCTCCCTGGACAAATCCATCCATCTCTTCTGGTCTGGGGAAGGAAGTCCTGAATCCATGCTTCCTGGTGTGAAACACCTGGACCCCCTCCTGCAGATGGCCCAGCGACACCAGCCACCCACCCCTGACAAGGGCTTTCTTGGTACGTGGTCAGCTCTTGGGGGCCAATCTCATGATGGTGTTTTTGTGGATCAGCCAGTTACAGCTCTGGCAAGATCGTCTGCTTAGTATGCCAATGGCATGGGGTGTTTGGGATGGGTCTTACTCCAGTGTCCGAAGCCCAATCCTGTGTGGAGCAGTATCCTGTCGTGCCTTCCCTGTGTCCAACAGACCTGATCTGCCTGGGGTGATCCCAGCATGTTGGTGCTGTCACATAAGGGTTTTGGCTCCACTGACAGGAGCAGAGTGTATAAATTTTGCTCATCCCTCTCTCCTGGTTCAGCCAGCTCCCAGATTGGGAATGTGACTGTTTCCTCATTCCTCTCCAGATAAACTCTTCTACATCTACACTTCTGGCACAACGGGGCTGCCCAAGGCTGCCATTGTGGTGAACTGCCGGTAAGGCTGTGGGCAGGGGCTCAGGGGAGGACAGGGCTGAGCTCTGCCCTGTCCTAGCACAGCACCTCCAACCCTGCTCCTGACCTGCCTCTTCACCCTCCCCCAGGTACTTCCGCATGTCCAGCTTAGTTTTTTATGGTTTTCGGATGAGGTCTGACGATGTGATGTACGACTGCCTCCCGCTCTACCACGCTGCAGGTAACGTGTGCCATACAGAGCCTGGCATCCTGGGACTGTCTCTTCCCCAAGCCAAGCCCAGGGCTCAGGCTGGAGGCTGGTGTGGCAGCAGTCTCCATGTTGAGGAGGAGCTGCCTGCTGCTCACAGTGCGTGACTGAGGCTTTCTGCTTTTTTCCTGGGAGCGAAGAATCGATCTGACTGACCTTTGGAGTGGGGATTGTGTGGGGTGGGCATTATCCCAGCTCCTGTCCTGGCTTTGGAATAGTTGTTCCTTATTGCTGTTCCCTGTAGAAAGCCAAAGGGGAGAGTCAAAGGGAAGGGGAAGTGGTGCCTGCCTGGCTGGCTGAGACGTGCTGGGATGTTTAGGTACAAAATGCTGCCCCACATCTCGCTGCCGTGTGTCTCCTCCCCCGTGCCAATGATCCTGAGGGATTTGGCTGGGTGAACCCCAGTGCTGTGAGACAGCCATGGCCTCTGCCTTGCCCTGCCAGGCCTCTCCTCAGGTGGCTGGATTGGAGGTGTGTGGGGACTGAGGGCTTTCCTGACTGCCTCTTCACAGGGAACATCGTGGGGATCGGGCAGTGCCTCCTGCAGGGAATGACGATTGTCATCCGCAAGAAGTTCTCGGCCTCGCACTTCTGGGAGGACTGCGTGAAATACAACTGCACGGTGAGGCAAGAGGCCAGCCAGGAGTGGGGAGCAGAGCCTGGGGATCTGTGCTGTGCTGGGGAGAGCCCAGCTGCTGGAAGAGGGAGAGGTCTGGACCGGTTCTGCCTGTCCTTCCCGAATCACCTTCCAAGGTGATAGGGCTGTGTCCTTCCCACCTGGACTGGTAACTCCATGTGTCTAAGCCCTTCCCATGCTCCAGCGTTAGCCAGGAGATATCTGATGAGTTTCACAGCCTGGAGGGGTGGGTTAACCTGGGAAGGACAGGCACTGGATGTGCTCACAGGACTCCTGGGTTTTACTGTGGCCTCTTTAGGGGCCTTTGGGCATGTTGTGCTATTCCTACCCGTCCCAAAGAAACCCCAGCCAACCTGGGGCCTGGCAGAGGGGTCCTATGAGTCTTTCCTCTCCATTACTCCCAGATTGTGCAGTACATCGGGGAGATCTGCCGCTACCTGCTGAACCAGCCGTACCAGGACGCGGAGCGGCAGCACCGGGTGCGGATGGCGGTGGGCAACGGGCTGCGAGCCTCCATCTGGAGGGAGTTCATGGCCCGCTTCGGCATCGCCCAGGTGGCCGAGTTCTACGGGGCCACCGAGTGCAACTGCAGCCTGGGAAACTTCGATGGCAACGTAAGGCCCCTCCCTCATGTCCTAAAGGGTGACAGCTGGCCTGGGCAGCATTGGAAACCCAGGTGGGCTGTTTGCTCCAAGAGGCTTGGCATGGGTTGCCATCCACTCAGAAGGGTTTTGGTTGTGTGATGCCAGCTCTGTGGTATCCTAGGTGTGTGTGGGCAGTGGGCTCGGGCGGGACAATGTCCCTGCCACCCACAGCTCTGAGCTCTTTCTGTTCTAGGTTGGGTCATGTGGCTTCAACAGCAGGATCCTGCCAGGTGTGTACCCCATCGGCTTGGTGAAGGTGGACGAAGACACCATGGAGCTGATCCGGGGGCCGGATGGTGTCTGTATCAGCTGTAAACCAGGTGAGGGCACCCACAGGGATAAATCTCCTCAGCCCCGTGTGAGTCTTTCACAAACACTTTAAGATAATTTCCCTGGGTTTGAGTCTCTGCTCAGTTAAATCCCATTAGACACCCTTTTTGCTTGGGTGTGGGTGGTTGCTTCTTCTCTTCATCCCCTCTTCTCCCCACAGGGGAGCCAGGGCAGCTGGTGGGTCGCATTGTCAGGAGCAATCCCCTGCAGCACTTTGATGGCTACCTGAATCAGTCAGCCACCAACAAGAAAATCGCCAGGGACGTGTTTACAAAAGGGGACGCTGCCTATCTCACAGGTGAGGCAAGCAAGGCCCCTCTGTCCACTGGGAGTGGAGGAGAAGGGCACCTGGGTGTGGGTGGGGACTGTCCTAGGCTAGTGACACTGCCCTGAGATGCTCCAGCATTGCTCCTAGTCCCTCTAACACCTCATTTTATTTGCTTATCCCTCGCTTTCTTGTAGGGGATGTGCTGGTGATGGATAAATATGGCTACATGTACTTCCGTGACCGCACCGGGGACACGTTCCGCTGGAAAGGGGAGAACGTCTCCACCACAGAGGTGGAGGGAACGCTGAGCCGCATCCTCAACCTGACGGACGTGGTGGTTTATGGGGTGGAGGTCCCAGGTAGCTGAGAGGGAAGAGGACAATCAGGGGAGGCAGACAAGCCTCCAGCACTTGAATGTGAGCGTGTCCTGCATGTCCAGATGGACGTGTCCCTTTGCAAGAGGGTGGGCCAAGGCTCCCTGTGGGCGAGCTGTGAAGAGGCCACAGGGGACGGGCCTAGTGGGAACCAGAGGGTTCCCTCCCTCTCTCAAGCTTTGGTCTGATTCTGACTGGTTTGGAAGGACCCTGTGTCCCTTCTGGACAGGCTCCTCTGGGAGGAGGTGACCGTGACCACAGGGTGTCGCTGGTAGCCTTTGCCACAGGGTGGTGACACAGCTGGACGTGCCAGCGCTTCAGGACAAAGCAGAGTCTGTGCCAGAGGCCTTGCTGGTGTGGGGCAGAGGGAGATAACGCTATGGGGATGGTGTGTCTGAGTGCTCTCCCTTCTCTGCCTTTTAGGGATTGAAGGGAAGGCAGGAATGGCAGCCATTGCTGACCCGGAGAACTCCTGTGACCTGGAAGACTTTTCCAGCAAGCTGAAAAAGGCGCTGCCACTGTACGCACGTCCCGTCTTCCTGAGGTTCCTGCATGAAGTCTCCAAGACAAGTGAGCCATGGCATGCACACTCCATGGACAAGGAGCTGGGAGAGCCTGGGAGGGGGAAGCTGGGTACAGAGATCAACTTGTAGGGTGGGGATGGAGCCCCTCTGCCCCACAGAGCCCCTGTTCCTCGGGTGGTTTCAAGGCATGGGATGCAAGGCTGGGTCTGGGGCAGCACAGGTGCGGCGGGGATGGAAGTGTGTGTGGCCAGTGACCCCTTATTCCTTCTTCTCTTCCCGTTCCAGGCACCTACAAGTTCCAGAAGATGGAGCTGCGGAAGCAGGGCTTTGACCCTGCAGTGGTGAAGGACAAGTTGTATTTTCTGGACTCCAGGCAAGGCCGATACCTGCCACTGGACCAGGCAGCATTTGGCAGGATCCAGTCAGGAGACCAGAAGCTGTAATCGGTGGGGCTCAAGCAAGGCACCTACCAAATCCTGCTGGGGAGAGGGGGCAGGGCAGGCACCGGGGAAGGAAAGGTTCACAGAGCGATACAAAGGCACTCTAGAGATTTTATTTGACGAGTTTTACAGATCAGGGTTTGGGGGGAACACAGAGGGGACCGAGGGGAGGGGGATGGTCACATACCAAAGCATTGACTCATTATGGCTTTATTTTCTACTTGGTACAGCGGTGGTGGTCCCGTGCCATGGGAGGGGCAGGGCCCTGGCCAGTTGAGGAGGGGTGGGGTGCCCCTGCCATTCCACTTTGCTTTTCCTGTCTTTTCCCTCCCTTTTCCTGCGTACAGCAACCCTTCCTTGTGAAGGCCATGAAGGGACCAGTGCTGGCCTCTTCCCCACTCCTCCACCAAGCAGCCAGCTCCTCCTTGGCACAGGGACCCCACTGGCAGAGGGAAGCTGGGTGCCAGGCGCAGCCCCTGCCCTCTGCATGGCCCTGCTGGTGTCGTGTGTCTGCTGTGAAGCAGGGGAGCAGGGTAGTGCTGGGCTCAGGAGGGGGACAGGGATGTGTTTCTGCCATGCCTTTCTCTCTCCTGGGGATGACATTTTTCACAATCACACGCACATTATATTATATATATATATATTATACACGCTGACTTTTTTTTTTCAATCTTAATTTATTGTCTATACTTTTGAATGTGTCCCGGGTTTGTGCAGTAGGTGGAGGGATAGCCCAGACCTGTCCTCTCTTGGATAGTCCTTCTCTCTCACAGGGAGATGGGAAGCTCATCTGGGACTGATTCTCCTCTTCCAGCGTGGGTGCAGCTGTATATGTCCTTGTGGCCTTGCTCCATGGCGGAGGACATGAGCAAATCCCACTATCTTGTGGACACTTCTCTGGGTCTTTTACTTCCATCTTTCGTGGATGCAGCCTTGTTTTGTGGACCTTCTTGGCAAAAAGCAAGTGGGAGAGTGGGAAGAAGGGCCTGGTTTGCCTTTGCTTAGACATGCTCAGCACCACGGAGCAGCTCTCAGGGCTTTCCTGCCATGATGTCAGTGCCCTGGATGTGGGAGGCAACTTGCCTGGGGAGAGAACGTCCTCTGGAGGGTGGCCTCTGTGAGAGCCTGACTTCATGTGCTCTGCATCCCTTCCCAAAAGAGCCCTCCCTGTCTCCAGCACCGGAGCCGGGCCCTGAAGTGAAATGTCCATGTGAAACACCTGACTTGTGCTATGTGAATTCCCCGTGTTGTGTCCGACATGAAACAGCCTCAGCAGCAATGTCTGATTCCAGTCCTTGGAGACCATGCAGAAATGTCTCTTCCAGAGAAAACTCTGGATTGGGGTTTCTTCTTTATTTTTTTTTTTTTATAATTTGTTTTTATGCTTTTAGCAGGGTTACTCCTTAAAACAACGTCCGTCTTTTGTGAGGGCAAGGTGTGTCTGCTCTTCTAGCTGTGCTTCCACACCAACGTTCCTGCCTGCCCCAGTCTGTCCTGGTCTCACAATTAAACACAAGTATGGGCTATGCTGGAGTTTCCTACCTCTTCCTTGTGCAATCCTGATCTGTGGGGGGAGACAAGTGACTGTGCCAGTTTGGGAACTGGGAACTGCCGCTCCAGAGCACCGGAGGACTTTGGCTCATCTCAGAGCAGGGGGAACAAGCCCTTTGGTGCTGTGTTTAATGACTGTGTGAAAACAACCTGTTGATCAGACCCTCCCCAGTCCCCTCCACCACCTCCCTGCTCCCCCTTTCTCCTGGTCCTGCTCTCAGCATTGCCATCCCAGTTTGTCCTGGCCCAGTTCTCCCTGGCACATCTGGCTTGTCCACCCCTCTCCTGTTCCCTCTTTCTTCTTTGTGCAGCTTCTCTCCGTGTTTGGCCACACTAAACCTCCCAGCTCATTTCTGCCCTTGTAGACAAGTTTTTTGGTACCCATTCCCCGTTCCTTGCTTCTAGAACCATCCTTTAGACCCTTTGCCTTCAAAGCTTCTTCTTGATACATGGGTGCCAAGAGAAATGTCTTCCATGAGCCCGAGTGAAGTGTGTTGCCTGGTGAAACACACTATGGGAAAAGTGCTGGAAATTTGCATCCATTATATACCAGATGCACTTCTGGACATGTTCAAATTGGTGGCTTCTTCACCATCTCTAAGCTAAAAGCTTTTAGTCTCAGTTCTCTGAACACAGTGACTTGCCAGTCTCTGTCCCAAAGCAGTGGGAGAACTCAGTGGAAAACCGGCCTCACCCCCACAGCCCTGAAGAGCTCTCAAACCAGGTGGCTTTGCTTGGGGGGGGTCATAGGTAGGGGCCCGGGGGTCTGGTGCAGGGTGTGCAGTGGTGGCTGCCTCCTCTGCAGGTGCTCTGGTCCCGCTTTGGGACCCTGTTCCTCTCGGAGCCACCGGAGGAGGGCAGGCTGGGCTCGGCAAACGCCTCGCCCGCGGGGATATACATCCTTATGCGCTCCCCGGGGGTTTCACAGCCCGTGTGTGCTGTTCAGAGCCCTGGAAGCGTGGGGTGCTGAAGCAGGGGGGTTACCCACTCAGGGAGCTGGGCAGCCCCTGTCCGAGGTGGAGGGGAATTTTTGGGTAGAGATGATGGTGCTGGGTGTGAGGTCAGTGGCAATCTCAGGTGCTTGGTGTCCACTCTGCTCAGGCTCCCAACAGGAGCTGTGCCTGATGGAGACTTGGGCAGCACCGAGGACACCGAGCTGTGCCAGATGGGTGGTGGGCAGAGACCTGAACCACTGACCTCAACCAACCCTCTGCTAAAGGGAATAGGGGAAAACTTGGCCTTCCTCAAGTCAGACCTGAGGGTCATTGCCCAGAGATGGATGGTTTGAAGTGGTACAGGAGGGTCGGTGCTGCCCTGCACACAAAGCTGCTCCAAAGGAAGAGGGGCTGCAGGGCAAAGCTCAGCTCTGCATTTCTGTCTGTCTGAGAACAGGTTAGGTTAAAAAAGCCATGGAAACTCTGCATTCAGGGCACTGCCTGTTAACTGCAGGTGCAAATAGCTTTGTAAGGTCCTGGAAATATGGCTGTTGTTTGCAAGTGAGCCTGTACAAGTGGAGCCTGGCTTATGTTGCTGGGTTTTAGAGATGGAGGGGCATTAGAAACCTGTGAGAGGAGCAGGATTTAGCACTTCAGTGCTGGGGGGTTGGTCCCTGCTGGAGATCTGGTGGCTGGGGAAAATTCCTGACTGAGGAGGGTTGTGTTGCACTTGGCAGTGCTTCAAGACTCCCTGCAACACCCAGCTACACCAATTAGAGGTTTTCCGCTGGCTGTCAGCTTTGAGTTGAAATCCTGGGGCCTTTTTAAAGTCCCAGCTGCTCTGGAAAAATGAAGCCTAGGTGCAAGTGTCCGTGAAGCTCTCGGCCCAGGAATCCAAGTGCAGGTGTGGTAGGTACCAAGCCTGGGATCAATGCTGGAACACTTCCATCAGAGAGGTGTTTGGAAAGAAGTAGACAATGTTTAATCAGTCTGATTTTTTTAAATTCATCCTTATTAGTGCAATTTTAAGGAAGAGGCTAATTGGATCCTCTATGATTAGAGACACTTTGCAAGACATCCCTCCCCTTTGATCAATATGCTAGTCTAGCTCAGCAGATAAAAGTACTCTATATTAAGTACGAGGTATTATTCTTTTTTAATTAAAACACTTAAAATGCTGTTTGCATGAGGTTAAGAAAACATTAAAATCCTTTCCTGGGTTATTATCAGACTATTAATTTAAGCAAAGCCAAAGAGCTTTACAAACCAAATGTACTTTTCCCTATGGAGATGACTGCTTCTCCCAGGCTCTGTGTCCTGGACAGTGACAGTAATATCAAGAAAAAAAAAGAAATTTCGCCAACTTTCTTTCTGATCAGCATCTCTTTCCAGCTCTAGGTCCAGCTCAGCCAGGCCACGCTTGTTGTGCAAAACTGGAATGTATTTTAGCTTTAACGTAGGCAGAGGCTTTGCAAGTTGCTCGGGACCTTTCAGGGTGAAATTAATTTTTGCTGCTGACAAAGTCTTTGACAATCTTTAATGCTGCATCTCTCCAGCCTCCCCCTGCCACTCTTGGTGTGCCGGAGCCTTCCCAAACAATGACAGCCGCCTGCTCCTCCGCACGCTGGGGAGCTGGCTTTGCCTTTAAGCAGAGACAGGGAAATATTCTCAACTGAAGAAGGGACTATCCTTTGGTGCGCTCTTTAGAAATGGAAATACTCGATTCCCAGGAGTGGTTTCAGTGTAACCAAGAGCAGGGCCAGGGGCGGCTTCTCCCCCTCCAGTCTGAAGGGGCTGTGTGGCTGGGGATTCCACCAAAATGATGGTCTGTGGAGATCTCATCATCCTGTGTGAGGGAAAGGACAGCAGCTTTCCTTCTCAAAGCAAAAGGGCTTTACGAGGGAAGCAAATGTCCTTATGGCAAATGGCTGCTGAGCTCCTGGACAGCACGGGAGGGCTGGGCTGTGCAGCAAGGCGAGGCTCAGGGAGCAGTGACAGGTCCTGCTCTGCTAGTTTTGACCCTGGCCCATTTCAGTGGCATTTCCCACCTTCCAAAATAACCTGGGGTTTGACCTGCTTTTCTCCTGGTTAATTAAAAATCTCATCCATAGGCACAAATGATGCCAGGCCAGGCTCTGGGAGAGATTTGAGTAGTTGGGATCATGCAGTACAGGGTGGCAATACCAGGAATTGCAGGCAGTGGTGATGCTGTCCGAGGCCAGGACAAATTCCTGCTCAGGATGGGGGGGGTCACTGCCCAGATCTTCCCTGATCCTTTGCCAAATGATCCCAGCTTGTGAAGTGGAATATGACCCCCTAATATGCCGCATCCCCCTCCTCGGTACAGCCCTGCCTTCCTCTAGCCCCATCCGTGAGGGTGCTGAGCATCCCTCCCCAGCGCCCCCAGCATCCTGCCAACCCAGGCAGGAGCTGCGGTCTGATCCTGCCCTCGAGGTGACACCTTCCGCGACCTTCACAGGGCTGTGCCAAGGGGCCCGAGGAAGCGAGGGCAGCGAGAGCCTTTCCTCTTCGCCTCCGGCCATCCAAGTGGCCTCCGGCTCGGCCGCAGGAAGAGGCCAACAGCGGCGGGCGAGCCACCTCCTCAGCTTTGAGTATCACTTTCAGCTATTCTGAAGGTTAAACGCCTGTTTAGAGCTCCCTATTGAAGGTAGAGCCGGGGGTGCGGCATTGTTCGGGCGCCCTCCCGCTTTGTCTGGCCGCTTTCAGGGATGCCCTGAATGGGAAGCGGCCCCCCCAGCCCAGCACCCCGGCAGAAGGGCTCCTGGGGGAGAGGCGCTTCCTCCCGCCCTAATGACATTCAGGCCTCCATCGGTTCAGCTCCCGCTTTCTTTCTGCTGCAGTTTAACCCGGGCACAGAGGCCGGGCTCCATCTTACTGATCTCTGCTTGACACCCAATTACCACATGAATGGGAGAGAAAGGCTGCAAAAGGCTTTAACTCCCACTGACCCTCCTTCCCCTCTGCCTGCTTCCCCCTCTCCCCGTCCTACCCCCTCGCCTTTCTCCGGCGGAGGGAGTTCAAAACTGAGACGGGGGAAATCAAACAAAGCCCCGAGTAAGGAAACCCATTGTCACCGCCTCCGCGATGGCTCCCCTTTCGCCAGCTATTGTTCCCCTTGAAGTTTGACTTGCTGTGTGGAAGGATGCAAGCAGCTGTTTGTGCATTCCCCTGATGTTTTATTGAAAAATAATTGAATCGTCAGCTCAGGGCTCTCTGATAAAATGTTTCCTCGTAGCGCTGGGCCCCGCTGTATTTATAAACTACATTTCCCTGAAGGACGTGATGGCGACCTAAACCATTTCCTCCAGAATAAACCCTCAGCGGATGGACAGAGGCATGTTCCTCCTTGCACTTAAGGGGAGAGAGAAAGCGTGCAAATAGCAGGGAAAAACCCCGGAAGATAGGACTGAGACAAAAGAAATTAACCTGCCTTTATTTTCCAACCTGTTCCTTTGTCTGGTGCAGAGGGTTTTGTGGGAAGGGAGAGGCGAGTGCAGCCAGAGGCCCCATGTAACTGGAATGAGCACCACAACTGCCTGGGTCCTGCCCAGTGCCATTCCACACCTGGGAGCAAGTGAGGGATCTGTCAGGATCTGGAAAACTGGGTATCCAAAGAGAAGTTCAGCTTAAGTAAAGCACAGTGACACATCGCTGGGTTTGAACGAGGAGACGGTGTGTTACAGTGAGCTGAACTCAGTATACATATTCAAGGCAGGAGCCTTGTCTGTACCTGGTTTTGCTTTATGTACCTGTTAATCAAACACCATCCCTGTTTACAGCACTTTAACAGTGCCAGCATTACACTTTCTCAAGGAGATTGTGTGCTTGCTTTCCCCATCCCAGGCATACCTGGAGAATTAGTGGTGCTCTGATTTCAGCACCCAGCACGGAGACAGCAATGTCCAAAAAACCATCCCCCATATCTCTTGTAGTCACTGTTTGACCAGGACAATTGTTAACAGTAATGAGCTTTGAATGTTTGAATGAGCCGAATTGATATTTATGATTACTGTTCCCTTTCTTTTAATTTATTTTTGCTTTTCAGGGAGGTACTAACACTAAATCTGTAATATTTTTTTGTATTTCTATAATTTTATTCTTTTAGGAGCCAGTTCTCCTTTTATTTGGCCTCATAAATGACTTCTGGAAACAAGAAGAATAGCTCATACAAAACCATAACTGCAAACTCTGATCTGGAGTTAAGATTACCAGATCCTCGGCACGCAAAATGCTTCAGTCATTTCTGAAGAGTATAGAAGGATGATTTTTGTCTAAGGCTTCTTTCCTCAGCTGCTTTTCCCTACATTTCCATCCTGGGCCATATCTCTGAGATACTCAAAAGCCTCGAGATTTAAGAGATATTTAAAATCCAGATGGAATTTTTGGATGAAGACCACGGTCAACAGCTTCACGTCCCTGCCATCACGTAACCCCGGCAGCGAAGGCAGCATTCATCTGTGAGGGACTGGCCTTTCCTGGGGCCCAGCCCGGAGAATGATCTCCTCGGGAGAACAAAAGGCCATTACAAACACCACCACCTTCTGCTCCCGGGGTTAGGCGTGCTCTGACCCCCGTTAGCATAAACGAAGAGCAATCTGTCTGTGTAAATTTATGCCCCTTACACATAATGCATCATGTATATGCATAGCTGTTACATTTCTATGTGCATGCGTGCACGCGTACATGGATTTTTTTTAACCCCAAACCCCTCCGCTGAGTGCGGTTTTTCCACCAGTGCTGCCCTGTGTCGTGGGGGAGAAGCACAGCCCAGCTGTCACCGCCATGGCTGCGTCCCGCCTGTGTACACGGGGCTCCTCTGGGGACAGGGGGGGAAAACAAACAGGCGACAGATGTGAGCCGCGTTGTTTAATGCCGAGCTGGAGGTGCTCGGGGAAGGGCTCGCTGGCAAGAGCTGCCCGAGCAAGAGGGATGTGAAATGCCACCCCTGGCACAGAACCGCATCTTCATGGTGGTGACAGCAGCGGTTGTTGGTCTCAGCCAGCCGCTTCTGCTTCCCCCGCAGTCCCGATGAGCTGCGAGGCAGTGCCTTAGACTCACAGAATCACAGAATCATTAGGGCTGGAAGGGACCTCTGGTGATCTCCCAGTCCAAGCCCCCTACCCTGCAGGGTCACCTGGAGCAGGTGACGCAGGAAAGTGTCCAGGTGGGTTTAGGATGTCTCCGCAGACGCCACGCCCTCCCTGGGCACCTGTTCCAGTGCTCTGCCTCCTCAATGCAACGAAGTTCTTCCTCATGCTGAGGTGGAACTTCTTGTGTTTCAGCAGCTTCGCTGCCAGGGAAAGCTCTGCTGGGAAAGCTCTGCTGGGAAACCCCTGCTGCAGCTCCCGCCTCCCCCCAGCCCAAGCGCTCCGGGCACACCAAGGGCTCTGTGTGCAGCCCTAAGCATGTGAAAGGGGCTCTGTGCGCGACCAGTCGTGAACTTGGCGTAGAAATGGGTATTTTAAAGTAACATCGCCTGGCGCCAGCGCCCAGGTATTTTAAAATAGCACTTTCGGGGGACAGTGCTGCCGGGGGACACAGGCCGCGTTGCCCGGCACTGCGGGAGCTCCTCTGGGGCTCTCCCGGGCCCCGGTCCCAGGCTCGGCCCAGGCCGCCTCTCCATCCCCCGCCGTTGCCGTGGCAACGCGGCACGGCCGGAAGTCGCGCGCGAGGCCCTTCCGGCGCGGCCCGCGCGCGCGCCGGCCCCTCTCGCGCGCCCGCCGCCCAAGATGGCGGCGCCCGTGTCGCTGCAGGTGGAGTTCGGGTGAGCGCGGGCGGCGGGGCCGGGAGCGGGGCCCGGGCGGAGGGCAGGGCGCTGCCGGGCGGGGCAGGGCCGCGATGGTGCCCTCGGTGAGGCGGCCGCGGCACCGAGGCGCGCGCGGCTGGTGCGCGTGGCCTGCTGGCCCGCCGCGGGCGCGGGTGGGCCCGGGCGCCGCCGCTGCCGCGGGGGCTGCGGGCCGGGGGTGGCGGGAGCGGCCGCCCCCGGGGAACCGAGGGGTCGGGCACCGCCGAGGGGGTGTCCGCAGCGCTGGACCTGCCCGTCTGCCCCGGGGCCTCCCTGCCGTCTCTGTGTGAGCGTCCTGTGCCACTCCTTTCCTTTCTCTACTTTCTACCTCTTATTTTTCTTTTTTTTTTTTTTAATTATTAAAATTATTTATAAAAAACTCCCACTCGTTTTTCGGCTTTTTTCCCCCCCTCCGTACGTGTACCTGTGTGTGTTTGTGTGTGTACATGTGCCCTCGCTGTGCTTTGTGTCCCAGCTGTGTCGGTGTCAAACAGCTGCACCCTCACTCTGCAGCATTTTGGTTTCCAGGCCTTTTCTACTGTAATATCAGCCTTGCTCACACTCTGACCCTGGGAACCTAAAGCGTTTGCAGTGGAAGCTGTGCATATTTGTGGAAATACTGGTGTTATTTCGTTAAAGCCTCCTTTTAGCAGAAGCTAAAAGGCTGCTATTTATTCGCTTTTTCCCACCCTTTCACGAACACAGAAATGCCATAACCCTTTAAACACCCTTCTCCTTAAGAATCCTTTCCTCAGTCTTTCCCGCTTCCAGCTGCAGCAAACTCTCCTAATTTTCCCAGAAGAGTGAAATGCATTTTTGCTTCCCTTGGAAATGCATAAATGAGCTCTCTATGTAGGAACCACAGCTGAGTCCCCCACGGCTCCCGCTTTACAGAAGGACCTTATCCTGCAATCTACATTTCCCGCTGCAACAAAGCGTGACCTTGTTTTCATTACATGAAAAAATGTTTTTCATATAATTGTTGTGACTTGTTCCCTCCCATGAATCTCGGGCTCGTGTTAATAAATCGCTGCTTCAATTTGGAGATAACTATTTGTTGTGAGCTGGGGGAAGAACACCAACAGAGTGCCCTTTAGGAGGGTTTGCTGCATATAAGTAGTGCTGCTGAGGGCACAACAAGGGTTCTGTTGTGCTCTGCCACTGCAGAGCCAAGAAAACCTACTGGGGCATTTTTAGATATTGAATTTAAAGGAGCTTAGTAACGTCTGGATGTATCTTTGTTGGTTCTTTAGGTGGGGATTGGTTGGTTTTAAATATTTCTCTTTATTGTGTTGGTTTCCAAGGGAGGAGAATCACCAGTAAAGTAACTTCATAGGGAAATTTTTCTGAAGTAATCTACATTTAAGCTGGAAGGATATTTTGCCACGGTTATGTGCCCTTTGAAAATGGGTTGGTCATTTTTCAGCCTCACTTGAGTATTGAGTTGAGTTTTTTAAGAGTTTTCTAGTTGTTAAAAACCTTGCCCAGTCTAGAATTCAGTTTAGAGTCAAAAGGTCACACTCTGCTGTTATGTCCCATATCTAAAAGTAGCTTTTGTGTTTATTACCCGTGTCCCTACTCACACGATGAAGTTTTATAATCTGAGTTTGGCCTCTGGCCTCACAACATCATGAAAACTGATGGATGTTGGTAAAGCTCAAAATTTTCACAGTTGTTCTTTTTCCAGAAAGGTGAGGAGTTTGCTGGGGCTTCTGAGTTGAAGTTACAAAATTAATTGTTCCTTTGAAGAGCCTAAGATTAGGTGCCTGGACCCAATTTAAATCCCAGTGTGAGGACCAGCTCCTGTGCTTAGCAGCCTCTGCATGTCCTGCTCACACCTGATCTCCTGTGCCTGCAGGGGCCACCACTTGTTCCCTGGTCCCCCCGGGTGTTCCAAGTGTCAGAGGAGGGACGTTCCTCAAGTTGTTCAGTGTAGGAGGATTGTGTATTTATTTATTTATATTTTAACTTGTCATCCTCTCCACTCGCTTCCCCCAGTCAAGTCTCTCTCAGGAACACTTTGTAGATCAAGAAAGGGTTACCAGGACTCGGGGATTGCTGCCCCTGACTTGCTCTGTAACCTCATGTGAGTCGTTTCCTCTCTCCCCGTGCTCACAAGTGGAAACTGGGGGAATATTTATCCCAGAGGGATGCTCAGTTTTTGAGACTTCTGGCTAAAAGAGGTCAGGGATGAGCAACGTTGGACGTGACGTGGTGGCTGGAATGTTGTTTAGGTTTGTGAGCACTCGGAGATGGGAACCATGTTCCCGTTCCTTTGGGATAATGCCTGGCACTGTGGGGTCCTGGCCCACAGCAGAGCCTCCTGTATGTGCTGGAGATGGGATCTGGCAGCTCCCCCCACCAAGAACTTGTGGTTTGTGACAGGGGGGAAAAAAAAAAAAGACAAAGGGAATCCTGTGCTAAATATAGTCTGTGTCATTTGTTTTCTCTGCTGTGCCATCTATGTAAATCGCCTCTTTTGTACTGTCTCCCTTCTGACAATAAAGCAAAATCTCAGTGGTTCATTGTTTTTATTTCAGAGGTGGTGCAGAACTCTTGTTCGATGGTGTCAAAAAGCATCAGGTGACTTTGCCCTGTCAACCAGAGCCTTGTGAGTATCAGAACCTGCTGGATAACTTGAAAGAATGACAACAGATGAAACAAAGCTGGTTTGTACAGCACTTCTAGTTGGCAATGAGGATCAAAGTGTTTTAAAAGCTCTTTCAGACGTGCGGTGGATTGGGTAGCTTGGAAAACAAGGGTTGGTCCTCAAAGTCTGAGCATCTTTCCTTGTCCTCTAAGCACTTGGGAATTGAGTCCTTCCTTAAGTCTTGCCTCCCTTCTCCTGGATAGACAACAGCTTCTGGATGTTTCCATCAAGTCTGTGTCTGTCTTGCTTGGTACTTGAAACTACCAATAACCTCTTCTCTCATTGTTTTTCCCTGCCTGTTCTGAGATTTCCAAAAGGCACATATGTATATATATGTATGTGTGTGTATGTAGTGTATAGATATGTGGGGGGAGCGTAGCAGTGTAGCATAAACTTATCTACTCATTTGACTTTCAAGTATAGATAATAATTTTATATTAACTCCGCCGTTGAAAACAGCAAATTTAATGCTCAGATGTGATGCTGGACATCCTGCCTGTGGCCTTCCCTGCAATACAACCCAGTGTTCCAGGGATAGACAGTCATAATCTCTGGTTTGTCATTTGGAATATCAATACTGAGCAGTGCTGCACTAACTCACTTGTGTGTGCATACTTCAGTGGCAGTGTAATTTTGCCACAGGTATGTTCTGAATTCTTCCACCTGGATAGCACTGCTTTGTGATATTTGAGTGGGATTATAAACTGAAATAATACAGAGCATCAGGGAATGTTAACTAATATCTCATGAATGGCTAATACCATAATCTGTGTGCTGGGAACTTCCAGGCCTGAAATCTTCTTGCTGTGCCTGGAAGTAATTAGAGATTGGTAGAAGTGCTTTTGATGCTTGGACATAAGTACATGTAATTCAAATATAATTAGGAGCACTGGAATATTGTGTTATCTTGTGGGTGAGGACGGGGACTGAGGCTCCAGAAACATGACCTGATGCTGATTTGCTTTGTGAGTTTAGTCATGTTGCTTAACTTTCCCCTGTTGCTAGTGAGGTTGTAGTGATACTTTCATGTATCACAAGAGAGTTCAGCATTAAATTCCAGCACTGTTAAAGCACTTAAGATCCTTAAATGGAAGGTAGTGAAGAAATGCTAAAACACTCATTTAGTTGGTTTATAAACTTGGGGGATAGAGCGTAATTTTCTTCAGCGCTCTGTAAATTTAAAATACCCAGTAACACCCACTGCCTTGGTGGTGTTCAAACCATGATCAGATACTCA